GCCGTGGCACAGTGAGCTGCGCTGCACTGCGGCACACTGCACTGTGCCGTGGCACAGTGAGCTGCGCTGCGCTGCAGCGTGGTACACTGCACTGCGCCGTGGCACAGCGCGCTGCACCGTGCTGCATCATACTGCACTGTGCTGCAGCGTGGTACACTGCACTGCACCGTGGCACAGCGCGCTGCACCGTGCTGCATCATACTGCACTGTGCTGCACCATGGCACACTGCACTGCGCCGTGGCACAGTGAGCTGCGCTGCACTGCGGCACACTGCACTGCGCCGTGGCACAGCGCGCTGCGCCGTGCTGCAGCATCCTGCACTGTGCTGCACCATGGCACACTGCACTACACCGTGGCACAGTGAGCTGCGCTGTGCTGCAGCGTGGTACACTGCACTGCGCCGTGGCACAGTGCGCTGCACCTTGCTGCATCATACTGCACTGTGCTGCACTGTGGCACACTGCACTGCGCCGTGGCACAGTGCGCTGCGCTGCGCTGCACTGTGGCACACTGCGCTGCACTGTGCTGCATCATACTGCATTGTGCTGCACCATGGCACACTGCGCTGCACCATGGCACAGTGTGCTGCGCTGTGATGCACCATGGCACACTGCACTGCACCGTGGCACACTGCGCTGCACCGTGCTGCATCATACTGCACTGTGCTGCACCGTGGCACAGCACGCTGCACCGTGGCACAGCACGCTGCACCGTGGCACAGCACGCTGCGCTGCGCTGCACTGTGGCACACTGCACTGCACCATGGCACAGCGCGCTGCACCGTGGCACACTGTGCTGTGCTGTGCTGCACTGTACCATGGCACACTGTGCTGCACCACGGCACACCATTCCACACCACGACACACCACACTGCACCACGGCACACCGTGCTGCACTACAACACACAGTGCTGCACCACGCTGCACTGCGCTGCACCGTGCTGCACCATGGCACACCATTCTTCACCACGGCACACTGCACTGCACCGTGGTGCACCGCACTGCACCACAACACAGCCTGCTGCACCACGGCACTCAGCGCTGCACCGCGCTGCACCGCTGCAGCATGGCACACTGCACTGCAGCATGGCACGCGGCTCTGCACCCCAGCACACCGTTCTGCACCACGGCACGCGGCGCTGCACCGCGCTGCACCCCGTCGCACCATGCTGCACCACGGCACGCGGCGCTGCACTGCACTGCACCCCATCGCACCATGCTGCACCACGGCACACGGCGCTGCACCGCGCTGCACCGCGCTGCACCCCGCTGCACCACGGCACGCGGCGCTGCACCGCGCTGCACCCCGTCGCACCATGCTGCACCACGGCACGCGGCGCTGCACCGCGCTGCACCCCATCGCACCATGCTGCACCACGGCACGCGGCGCTGCACCGCGCTGCACCCCGTCGCACCATGCTGCACCACGGCTCGCGGCGCTGCACCGCGCTGCACCGCGCTGCACCACGGCACGCGGTGCTGCACCGCGCCCCCCGTCCCCGCTCACCTTCTCGGGGCTGTAGGCGCCGGGGCCCGGCTTGCGCGTGTTGTCCCCGGGGAGCAGGTTGCGCGCCAGCATGCTGTACTGCGGCGCGCGCCGCTTGTACACGTCGGCGTCCACCACGCGGTAGTTGCAGGGCCCGGGCGTCTGCGGGCGCGGGGCGGCGTGAGAAGCCCCCCCGCGCCCCCCGCGCCCCCCGCGCCCCCCGCGCCCCCAGCCCACCTTGCAGAGGTCGGCGTAGAAGCTGCCGACGGCGCTGCGGCCCAGGATGGAGAAGTTGGGCGCCGAGCTCTTGCCCACCACGCGCGGGCCCAGCATGGGCGGCAGCCCGTAGGCGGCGGGGCCTGCGGGACGGGGGGGTCCATGGGGCGCCCCGTGCGGCCCCGGGGTGCCCTGCGCGCAGCGGGTGCCGGTGGCCGCCCCGGCGCCCATGGGTGCCCCCCGGCGCTGCTCCCTACCTGGGGTCTGGTCGTTGGCGAAGTGCTTGGTGCGCGAGGCCAGTGAGTAGACGGGCGCCGAGGGGTAGGCCCATTTGCCGGCCTTCTCCGGGCAGTAGCGGCCTGTGGCACGGGCGGGCAGTGGCACCGGGGCACGGGGACAAGGGCCCGGCCCCGTCCTGCCCCGTGCAGCCCTCCCAACGCTGCATGGCACCGTGCAACACCATGCAACACGGTGCATCCCTTTGCAGCACAATGCATCCCCTTGCAGTGCGGGGCATCGCTTTGCAGCACAGTGCGTCCTTTGCAGCACGGTGTCCACCCAGTGCTGCATGGCACCGTGCAACATGGTGCAACTTGGTGCATCCTTTTGTAGTGCAATGCATCCCTTTGCAGCACAGTGCCCACCCTATGCTGCATGGCACCATGCAACCTGGTGCAATCCGGGGCATCCCTTTGCAGCACAGTGCCTACCCAATGCTGCATGGCACCGTGCAACCTGGTGCAACTCGGTGCATCCCTTTGCAGCACGGTGTCCACCCAGTGCTGCATGGCACCGTGCAACATGGTGCAACTCGGGGCATCCCCTTGCAGCACAGTGCCCACCCAATGCTGCATAGCACCGTGCAACCTGGTGCAACTCGGTGCATCCCTTTGCAGCATGATGCATCTCTTTGCAGCACGGTGCAGTGCAATGCAGCGCGGTGCAGCACAATGCAGCGCAACGCAGCACGGCGCAGTGCAATGCAGCGCAGCGCGCTGCAGCCCCGCGCCGGGATGCAGGTGCTCCGCGCGGCGCCGCCGTCCCCCCGCGCGCCCTGACCTGGCCCCGGCGTGCGGAAGGGC